TTATCTGCAATTCATTATATGTAATTTAAAAGATTTTTTGATGCCCTTTATATAAATGCATGTTCATCATTTCACTTCAACCTATTATTCAGTTTAGTCAGTTTTTAAATATCTTTAAGTAAATATCATTAAAGATTTATATAAGTGGATAATGGTATCAATGATGCAACCATAGAATTTATAAATCAATCAATAATGTGATATCGTCAACAATGCCAATGTGATCCCTGATCTGACATAGGATGAATACCCTACTTTTATCAATCAGACCACAGTTGGTGTATTGTTTTTCAGTTCATACAAAATGAATACTCTTCAGCCAACTTTTTATTTTTCATAGGTAATATAAGCAAATGGGGAAAACAAGTATAAAGAACCAAAGGTCTCCCTGTCATTCTGACCCTCCATTTCCTCTTCAGAATGTAGTGCTGTAACTAATTTCTCCTGTGAGAAGCATCATGTTTAAAAGTGGAGTTTGTGCCAGACATGGTGTTAGGTGTAAGGAATCAAGTCATTAAGAACCATCCCTATGTAGTAGCAGAGACACAGAATACAGACCATTTCAATATAATATAAACTTTATTCTTTTAAGTATGCAAACAATTCACTTCAGATTTCTCCTAACTGCCAAATACCTGGACATTTTCATATGTATCACCTGTGTCTTGAGCTAAACAGATCCAAACGCAATCACCAGTCATCTCACCTTCTACCTAAACCTGAGAAAGGTACCCATTTATGTAGCTGCTCAAGGCAGAAAACTCTCAATCACTAAACAGATACTTATCAAGACTATGCATTGTCTAAGGACTAATGCTGAGCTCTGGATATATGAGAACAGATAGGGTAGTCGTGTCTTCACTAAAACTTGTTCATGGATCTCTATCCTTGATTTCTCTCAATTCAAGTAGTCATTAAGCCTGACACTTTCACTTATTAAATTCCTCTGGAACCTGTTTCCATCCACACTGCCAATACTATCATCATACAGGCTGCCATCTTTCTTGCCCTGGATTTCCACAGTGATGTCCTAACTGCTTTCCTTTCCTGTGGTCATGCCATTCTTCAGTTCCATCTTCTCACCATTAACAGATCGTCATTAAAATACAAACCTAATAATGTTGGAACTCTTCAAACTTAATATTATCCTTCAGAAGGATAATATTATCGTTCAAACTCCTTAACATGATTAACACTCTTTATGATTTGGTACCTATTTACCACTAGGCCTGAGTTGAGGATCTCTGTTCTAGACTGCTCATCTCATATGAGAATTCATAAGAATTGTTACCTTTATCTGGGACACTTGTTTCCACCCATTAGCCATTTTGTAGCTATTCTCAAGAATGGAGACAATATGATTAAAATGAATTTTTTTTTTAAATTATGGTCTCCCTTATGAGAATATAAGCTCTGTAAGGTCAATTATTAGACTGGTTATTACCACATTTGTTTTTCTGCAATTAATTACCAGTGTCTAGCTCAGTGTCTGGCACAAATAAATATTTTTAATGAATAAATAAATGCCGAGGAGGCCTGGAGGAAAGTCAACTGATTCAGACTGTGGAGTAGAGAAAATGCTTCCTGAAGACATCTGAAAAGTAAGGAAGGATAAATCAGGCAAAGAATGCCAGGAGAGTCAACAAGAATGAAGAAAGATTCAAAGTATAAAACTGCCTCACAACCAGGAAATGGATATGATGGGAAGATGAAACCAGAACATCATCAGTACCAAGATTATGGAGGTACCAGCAAGCCAGGCTATGGAGTTGGACTTTATCTTAGAGGTGATGAGGTGGGGGAGCATCTTCAGAAGTTTACAATGGACAAGTGCAATGGTCAGATTTATATTTGGACTGATCACTGAGATTGATCATTGGTGGACTGTGGGGTGGTAAGGCTGAAGGCAATAGTGAGCTAGATGAGTAGTTGAAATGAATGGAAGGGAAAATTTAGTTTGAAGCACCCGTGAATTCTCCCAAATGGATCTATTTAAAAGGCAAGGAAATGAAAGTAAGAAACTCAAGGAAGAATTCGGGGATCCATGAGCAAACATTAAAACAATGAGAGTGGATGCTACTCCCGAGGGGACATAACAGGGAAAAAAACATGGTTAGGAATTACTACTTAAAGATAGGCAGAGAAAGAGGTCCTTAAGAATCATAATACAGGAGACAAGCAGGTGGCAAGGTTTGGCAAAAGGATGTTACTAAAGTGGGAGAGCAAGGATGGTGGTGGTGGTGTGAAAAGTAGCCACACAGAGGGGTGGCTGCCTCCCCAGTGATACTGCACTGTGCCCAGTTTTCCCTCCTTTTCAGAAGTCAGGGTTGGAGTTTGGGTCCCATGCTGTGCTGCTACTTCCAAGGGGTGGGGAATGAAGCAGGGCAGTCTGCACCCAGCCCAGGAGGCTATGCTGGCTGTCCCTGGGGTGCAGGATTGCTCCAAAAGAAAAATGAGAGCTGGTCAACAGCAAAGGCTGCAGAGATACTTTTCATCTTCTGAGAGAGAAAAGAGGCAGATAAATGTGGCAGAGAGAAATTGGTAGGCAAGAAGATAAGGTATATGCTACACAACAGCTTGAATTTTAAGAGATTTGTTAATTTTAACCAAAAGTACTAGCTAGCCCAGGAACACCCCCTGCATTAAAGTCAAGTCGCACTTGCAGGCTGTGATGGTCTCACTGAGCATGCCCATCTTGCCACTGAAAGATCTGCTCAGTGTTTACAGGTACATCATTCATCCTCTAAAGTGCAATCTAGAAAGGGAATGACACATTCAAATTAGAAAAGGAGCAGGGGTAAAAACTGTAGATCCACGTGAATGTGTGCAAAGTGCTTGAGAAATACCATTTAGACTACCCTGGTAACCTAATAAGAAGAGCAGGTGAGGGTAGGGAAGGGGTTGAGGAGAGCAGTAGTTTGTGAGCAATCACTGAAAGTTTAAGACAGGGGTATGGGTTGAAGAATTGTGAAGAATTAGGGGGTGACCCATGTTCCTTGTAGCATTGTAAGTAACATCTACGAGATAGGAACAACCCAACTGTCCGTGACTGAATAATGATGTACTATAGATATACATGGATACTGCTCAGCTATTTAAAAACAAAGATAGGGCCTCCCCGGTGGCGCAGCGGTTGAGCGCTGGGTTTCGAAGCTGCCTGCAGCCTCTGCAGCGCTGGTTCGATCCCCGGCTGCTCCCCGGCCACCAGAGGAGGGTCCCACATGGTGCGCAGACCTCTCCTGCCGCCCGCTGCTCCCCTCAGCAGTGTACTTCGGTCCTTCTGCCTGCTCTGCTTCCCGCTCTGGCTCTGGTGAATTCTCTCACCCTCCCGCGCTTCTGACTGTACCCAGTGCATGTATAAACAAACAAACAAAAAATAATAAAAACAAAGATAAAAGTCTGCCATTTCCAGCATGGGTGGACTTAGAGGGCATTATGCTAGGTGAAATAAGTCAGATGGAGAAAGGCAAACATTACTTCGCTAACATGTGTACTATAAAACAAAAATAAACTTTTAGACTCTAGGACTAATTATTGTTTTCCAGAAGGGAAGGGGCGAAGGGAGTGGGGAATCTGGTAAATGGGATAAATTGTATGGTGTAGGATAAAATTGGACTTTTAGTGGTGAACTTAATGTAGTCTATACACAGGTTGGTATAGTGACATATACTAAAAACATATATAGTTATAAACCAGTGTTACTTAAGAAAAATGAATGGGGTAAGATGAAGCTGGAGACAAGAATCTGACACATGTAAATTGTGTGCATTATGTTTCACTTTATTCAGTTCAGCCACCCACACAACATAGACCCCTCAGCAGACAATTATGTCTTCTATGTTCAATCCACAATAAAACTTCAATGATTTCTCCCCGACAAGGAAGTCAGTCATGTCTTCTTCTGGAATATTCTAACTTGTGATCACGTGTGAAGTGCCCCAGTATCTGAAAAATGCAACTTGTTTGGGGATGTGCAGGTTTGGGAAACAGTTGGGTATTGGTTAGCACCTGGGGTGCCTGCCTCCACTGGAGGAATGATAAAGAGAGGGAGATCTAAGAGCAGGCGACTTAGGTTCCATTCTAGACACTGCCACTTCTGTATACTTTGGGGCCTTTATACATGCGAGGATTTTACCAGATGCACCATTAATTCTTTCCACCTCTCCAACGCGTGTTTTGGGACACATTAGGATCTGTGTCTCAACACAGCTATTTGTAAACCTCTGTACTCAGCTTTGGACGACCATTTGCATAACATCGCCCATATATATATATTTAAAGATTTATTTATACAAGAATTGGGGTACAGATCAGAGGCGCGGGAGGATGAGAGGATTCACCAGAGACAGAGCAGAGAGACCCGAGGACACTGCTGAGGGGAGCAGCGGGCGAGACAGGAGGGGTCTGCCGCGACATGTGGATAGCTCTCCGGCCGGCCGGGACTCGAACCCGGCTGCAGAGGCTGCGGACAGCTTCACAGCGCTGCGCTCAGCCCGCTGCGCCAGCAGGGAGGCCCAATACCGCCGATATAGATCCCGCACTGTTGACAGTATCTATTTGTCCCCTGTCTTTCCTGCTTTTAATGCCGGCTAAATGAGAAAACAGCTTCAAACACAGAACACAGACCCTGAAGCTCACAGTCAATGCTCCAAAGTAACGGTATTGCTATTACTCTGGCCTCTGCCTTACCCAGACCCACGCGGAGGCCCACGTCCCTTCTTCCTTGTCATCGCGAGCTTGCCTCAAGTTTCTAGCACCCCTCCCTTCGCTTGTCATCTTCGCCAGGGACCCCGACTGCGCTCCAGGCGTGCGGGACCCCAGAGCAACCCGCCCCAGGAACCCAGGAACAACTACAGGACCCGCCTCCAAATCGTTGCGCTCCCATTTCCGCCGAGGTCACGGTCCGACTAGACGCCAACCCCACGAACAAAGGTTCCGCCCAGCGCTCCCGCCGCCACGCCTCCTCGCGTCTTTAGAGTCCAGCGGGCACCCGTAGCGCAGGAAGTGGGCTGGGCTGCTCGGGGCCGGGCTTCCTGTAGAAGGCGGCAAGTTTGAAAAGTGACAACGGTCGCTGATTGTTGATTTTTTTATTTCTTCTCCAGTTACTCCTGGAACTCGCCGCCCTCCAGTGGGCGGCTGGAGTGATAGGTGAGTGCAAACGGACACGCACGATGGAAATGGGGAGACTGGGTGCTCCCTGTCCCCCCGGGGGCGCGGGGCCGCCCAGTGTTTACGTGGAGCACCCAGTGAGCAGGTGGAGCGAGCCCCTACGACCTTTCATTTTACAGCAGAAACAGTCTGAGCTCAGTTCCTACCTTAAGTGTTATCGAAGTGATGGGTGTTGTCTGGTGCAGCATAGGCTGGGGGAGAAGAAACTAGGGTGTACGTGGTCATTTTAAGCTTGTGTTCACGATGTTTTAGCTCATTTATTTAGAAGTTGACGCGGATGTAGGTGCTCGTCAACTTTCTGTAGCTCTCCCTTGCTCAGGCATCACGTAACCAAATCCAAAACCAAGAATTAAAAGGCAAAACTGGGCCTCCCTGGTGGCACAAGGGGTTAAGCACCTCACTGTGAAGCGATCCCCTGCCAGGGAGCAACCCACATGGCGAAGCAGACCTCTCCTGTCTCCCCTGCTGCTCCCCTCAGCAGTGTATTCCAGTCAGTCTGCCTGTTTTGCTCCCTACTCTGTCTCTGGTGGATCCTGTCACCCCTCCCCGCCCCCCCCCCCAATCTCTGGCCTGTATCCCAGCTCTTGTATGCATAAATAAATAAATCTTAAAAAAAAAAAATAAAAGGCAAAACTAACATACTTAATCCAAAAATTAAAAGAAGAGAGCGGGGGTGTGTGTGGTACTTGCATTTGTGACATGATCATTTTCCCTGAATGAGTCAGGAGATTTTTTACGTTATTTATTGAGCTAGGGACGCATTCCTACTTATTTTTTGTTTCGTCTCTTCTTCCTGGAATGCTGATTTCCACGAACTGGTTTATTTTAGCTAATGGAGTGTGTAAAACTTAACAAGTATTCTTTAAATAAAGTAGTCCTTTCTTTATCCATGGTGTGAAATGTTTCAAGACACCCAGTGAATGCCAGAAACCCTGAGAGTACCAAGTCTCTCTCACACACACGCACAATATACTGTAATAAAGGTTATGTGAGTTTGGTCTCTTGAAATTTTAAATTTAGATAATATTTTTGGAAGGGGATTAACCACCTGGGAATTGAAACCTAGGAATGCAAAGCCAAGTGGTAAGGTAGGGCTTGGGTACCTACTTGGCTTGGTATGGTTGTGTTGCATAGAAATGAGAAGTTAAGGGGGTGATTCGTATTTCAGCTACTTGCTATGGGATCCTCGGGATCATTTTACATCTGTGAGGTGATTTATATACTTTATTCCATCAAAGAGCTCAAATTGTATACTAGTTGGTACCCTTGTCCCTTCTCCATGCCTCTCTCCACACACTTGTGAATAAGAACTATAATTGGTGTTCTGTCAAAGAAAGAAATGAGCTTGGATGTGGGCAGTGATTCCAACAGCCAGCATTTGAAATTTGGGAAACATCTTGGAGGTGATTTTCTTGAAACAAAAACTTTATTACATTATTAAATTGTGGGAGTTTTAGAAACCAAGAAGAAAACTTTTAATTTGACTTGGTGGGTAGAGATAGTAATTTAAGTATTTGATGTTACATGATGCATTGAGGGCTATATAAAGACACACAAAAAGAAAAATATTGTGATGATAATTATGACTATCCTTCACATTTCTTTATTTTGACACTCTGATCCAAACTGTGGCTTGTTTTGAGAAAGTGCCTTTTTCTGTGTTCTTTCTTTGTCTAAGTATTTTCAGCAGTGATTTTAAAAACTATGACTTAGATGGAAATATAGAATGTGTATTTGTGTTGAAAAAATGCATTTAAAATATGGGGCATTGGAACCTGAGTTCAAGAAGATGCTGACTGTAGAATGAAAGCCTGGAATTGCAGAAGTTAATAATAAGAAAAGCAAATCCTTGCTTAAACTTCAAATAACTGTAAGAATATGTAGAAGTCCTGGTTGGATTGAAGAAATCCTGGAAGTTTCAGTTTGAGATATATATGTCAGTAAGTGCTGCAGTTGTAGACCAGTTGAGCAGCAGAGGCCACTGCCCACTGGATTATAGCTCTGCCCTAGGAGAATGCATTACATTTTAAAAAGACATTGACAAAATAGTTTTAGGAGAAAATGAGTAGACTACAAAAGTTCTAAAACAAGGTCAGATAAGGAGTGACTCAAATTCTACTTAAAGAGAGGGGTTGGCAGAGACATCATTACTCTCCACATTTTAGAAAGGGCTGTCATGTAAATAGTAAACAGATGAATATATTTTAAATAGTTGCAGTGATTAGAAATAGTATGTGTAGGTAAAAGTTACAACAGATTTCTTCACAATATGAGGAAGAGATACGTAATTATTAGAGTCATGCTGAAGTGGAAAATAGTTGCCTTGTGAGTTAGTAAGTACTGTGATGCTTGCAGGTATTCAAGCAGAACTGTGAAGGTATTTGTTAATTATTTTTAGAATTACTTCCTACATTTTTCAGGCATAAGGAAAGTTGCCAAGGTTTCTTGTTAACCTTAATAGTCTAATAAATATTAGGAGCCTAAGTAAATTTCCAAAACGGGGGATCATTTCAGTTTATTTGCAAAAATTGACTATATATATATTGAGTGACTGAGGTGGGGCTGCTGATGCTGCTCTCTTTCTGCTAAAGCTGCTCTCCTTCTGCTATAGCTAGTGCTGTTCCGCTAGGCACAACTTGATAGGAAGACAGTGAAAAGGTTTTAGCTCACTGGGTGCTCACTATGTAGTGCCAGAATTTTATAAATATAATCACAACACGCTGTGGCAAATATAGAAGAGTTGAGTGCACTACTGTGGTGCATTGACATTTTGTACTAAATAATTCTTTGCTGTGAGGGACTGTCCTACACAGGATGTTTAACAGCACCCTGGACCTCTACCCACTAGATGCCAGCAGCACCCTACTCTAGGTCTGACAACCAAAAAGGTCTCTAAACACTGCCACATGTTCTCTGGGGGGCATAATTGTGCGGACTTCTGATGTACAGCAACATAGGTGGGAATATCTCACTATTTGAAGACATTGTAGGAAGTGTATTTTTTTTTAAAGTTCTCACTGGTGATTGGAGTTCCTGCTGACTATAGTATTCTATTCTTTTTTCTCTCAATCTTTCTACTTGCCTTTTAAATATTGCTGGTGATCTTACTATGTGTACTTTGAATAGGATGTCAAATCGGAGTGGTTTTACTGTCAGCCTATTTTGCCATTTTTTTTATGTGTAACTGCTATTGATCGTATTACCTGTTTATCTTGCCTTGATGATTAATCCTCAGGATCTATTCTTGTTGAACCCAAGACCTCTCCCCCCACCCATACCCCCAATTTAAAAAAGATAATATGGTTTCTCTTGTGTTTATTCAACCAAAGTCATCTTTTCTGTAGAAAAGTAAACAACAATCAGAGAATGACTTTGTTACTTTAGAATGAAAGCTACAATATTTTAGGATGTATATTGATATCTCTATTTAGGATATATGTTGATATCTCTGTTTGTGTTATCCTACAAGGTTGTTTGATAGTAGCTGGCACTAACATGAATTGTTTAGTTTTTGTTTATGAATTTTGTCCTTATATTTATCAGCTTCCAGATAATGTGGTCTGCCATTTGTGCCATGTTTCTGATCTTTGTATTTTTCTTCCTTCAGATTAGCAGGAGACTCCAAGATGGAAACCCTGTCTTTCCCCAGATATAATGTAGCTGAGATTGTGGTTCATATTCGCAACAAAATCTTAACAGGAGCCGATGGTAAAAACCTCTCCAAGAATGATCTTTATCCAAATCCAAAGGTAAAAAGTGGTTGTGCTTGCAGGTGGATGATGGTACTGAAAACAAAGTAAGCTATTAGGTGTAGAGTATGGGGAAAAGGGAATGTATTATTTGATGTAGACCAATCGATTTAATCTAGAGAAAAATCTCTCACTTAGTGTAATTTTAAAATAACATTAAGTTTATATGTGGGCAACTTCTGCATTTCCTTTAGGAATTCAACTCTTTAATGTGATTGTTTTCTTAAACTAATAATGTATGGATTTTAAACCATAGACATTAAAGTATATTAAATTTTTTATTAATATGGAGTGGCTGTCTGAGGTTATCAGTTATTGGTAGGGCTTAAAAGAACTCATTCCAAGTGGTTTCCAACCACAAAAAGTGCTTAGAAACAATTTTCTTTGGAAGCCTGCAGATTAATTTTCTTGCATTATGCCCCTAGGGGGAATTGACTTGTTTTGACAGGCATTTTTTTTTTTTATTTCTTTAGTTATTAAATGCAAAAATGAACTATTTATGTGTCATAGAAAATCCCAAAGTCTCCGTTCAGTTTCTTGTATTGCTCTTGAAGCATACATAATAAAATCTACTTTAATGTTGTACAACTCAAACTTTTTTATCCCTGTGCCCCTTTATTTCCTTAAAATGGAAGGAATAATCTCAGAATAAGTGAACTTGTTTGTGAATCAAAACAGGTTCTGCAGGTCAATGTTTGGTATTGCTTATTTAAGAGATACAATTTTTAAAAATCCCATATTATCTTATTAAATTATTCCCCCATATCACTGAACTTTAACATCTAGGGAACATTAACATCAAAAGCATCAAACAAAGTTTCCCATTGTCTTTTAAAAAATGTGCACCCTCAAAAAAAATGTGCACCCTCAATATGCCATTATTTTGGCCACATACCTGACAACCTGTTTTGAAAGTCTAATAACTCTTTTCCATTCTTTAATGTGAATGGATTGCTTGGATTGGATTTGGATATATATGCTCTCATTCGGTATATGATCTTAAGCAACTGATTTTATCGACCATTATTGCATATGAACAAACTGGTATCATTAGTTGTGTAAAAATTTGGAAAAATTAAGAACTAATTCAAGAGTAATTTTGTGACTATTTCCTTCTTTTGCATTCATCAGCTACAAGATTGGACAGTAATGATGAGAGTGATACATGCATCAGAGTATTAAAAATTGATTTTCTCTTGTAGCCTGAAGTCTTGCACATGATCTACATGAGAGCCTTACAAATGGTCTATGGAATTCGACTGGAACACTTTTACATGGTAGGTTTAAGATGAGGCAAAATTATGTTCTTTTGCTGCATTTTCCCTGTTCATATTACATACTATTTTCAAGATATAAAGTTCCTACTTTATTTTTAACAAAATCAAAGACTTATAGAAAACTAATGTCACTGCAAAGAAATTTAAGCATAATAATGGTTTACTGGTAGCATTAGTAAGATCAAAACTATAGTAAAAGAGTTAAGTGACACAAAATATTGATTTTATGCATCTATTCAGTTTTATAGGTTTGTGTTCAGACTGTAATAAAAATAAGTAACTGTTTTCTTCTCAGAAAAGACTCCCAAATTTGAGAGAAGATAGGCACTGAGATTGAAAATAATTGAGCTACTAGTAAATTTGAAATTTCTGGAAGGAAAGATCATTTTTCATGATCTTTTGTTGTTAAATCATCATGGAATTGTCTGAAGATGTACTGAAAATGTATCTTTAGAATATCATCAATATAATTGCATATTGTTTAAAAATCAAAGATTGTTCTTACATGCTATGAAACCTTGTTAAGATTTAGTTTCTTTCTCTGTAAAGTAGGGATAACACACTAGAGTTGTTAAATAATTAAAAGAGAATATATGTAAAATGCTTAACACAAATTCCTGATATTTAATAGGTACTAATCATTTAAAAACTGTGGCTCATCTACTCTGAACCTCACATTAATATTGATGACAGCTATTTTTGTGTTAGATCTGTATTGCTTGCTAAGGTTTTTTTTTTTTTATTTAATGATAGTAAGTAACTATATTTTGCTTAATCTATGATTAAGAAGGTGTCTTGAGATTGAAGATTTTCTTACTTTTCTAATCAATGTGTAATGTAGATTTTGTGATTTGTTACATTTAGCTTCCAGTGAACTCTGAAGTCATGTATCCACACATTATGGAAGGCTTCTTACCAGTCAGCAATCTATTTATTCATCTGTGAGTAAAAAGTGGTTTTGTTTTCTTAGTCTGCATTCATATTTGCACATTATACTTTATTCAAATACGGTTTTCACTGGGAAGGAATGTACCATTTCTCTCTTCACTCTATCCCATATACATTAAAAATTATATATGTCCACTAGTAGAGCTTCCTCCCTCTGGTATTTTCAATTGAAGTTTTAAGATGTTTTGAATCTAAATTGTTGGGTGAGTTTTGAATTCTTAAAGAGTCCTAGTGCCTCCAAGAGTGTTTGCTGTCTATTAGAATGTATAACTGTGCCTTGGTGTTGCATAGATACCTGAGTAATATACAGAAAAAGTAGATTTCAGTGCTAGATAATCACACATTGTAGTAGACTTCTGACTTGATCCTTTGACATTAAGAAACATATCCAGTAATCTTGTTTCTGAAATTAAGATGCTTCTATCCTATAACTTAGTATATAGTTTACAATGTATTTTTAATATGCTTTCTCCACTCCATCTTCCAGGGACTCGTTCATGCCTGTATGTCGGGTGAATGACTTTGAGATTGCTGATATTCTATATCCAAGTAAGTGGGAATTTAAAACAATTTTTAATATCTGGCTTCAGTGTAAAATTTTACCTTTCCATCAATAGATGTGAAAAAAGAAATACAGGAAATTGACTTTAGAACATGTATCCTATTCTTGAGGATGAATTTTTATATCTTATTGAAATTTTTTTCTTTTGTAGATCCAGTTTTTCTCATTATTTGTAACTTTTTTCATTTTGCAAAACACTCTGTAAATTTGAGGCTGTGAATACGAATACTATATAAGCTGTGATGTTATTCAGAGGAGTCATGATACTAATTTTAGCAAGTAACAATTACCTTTTACCAAAGAAAAGATTTTTCAGTCTTTCAATTTTTCAAAGATTTTTCACAAATAGCAAGTCGTGATGTGTTAGAATGTAAATTTCTCTTAACTGCATTTAATTATCCTTTAACTCATTTGACTATTTGATACACATAAATTTATATAATATTTTTTGTTGCAAGGGATTTGGTTTGCTCTTTAAAAATTTATTATCCTCTTTGTGATCTACTTTTTTGTTGTTGACATGGGATTTTCTACAAGTTATTGATGGCCATAATTTCTGAGAATAAAGACAGTTTTACTTCTCCAATCTATATATGGTATATTTCTTTTTCTTGCTTTTTGCACTGCTTGGATTTCTAGTATTTTGTTGAATTGACATGGCTAGAGCTGGCATTATTACCTTGTTTCTGATCTTAAGGGGAAAATATTTGTCTTTTGTTATTAAGCTTGATGTTAGTTTTATGATTTCTTAGATGTGTTTTATCAGGGTAAGCAACTTCTCTTCCTCGTGTGTATCATAAATGGGTGTTGAATTTTTTTAAATGCTTTTTTGCAACTAATGTAAAAATCATGGTGCATTTTTTTTTTTTAATCTAGTGAAATAGATTGTTTGACTTTTGAATGATAAACCAGCATTGTATTCAGGATGAACCCAATTTGTTTATGACATGTTATATTTTCAATTCATTGCTGAATTTGATGTGCTGATACTTTGTTAAGTGTTTTTATGTCATTGTTCATGAGGGATGTTGGGCTGTGATTTTCTGGTAATGCACCAGAGTCACTGATTTGGATATCATGGTATTGTTGGCCTCATTGGATGAGTTTGGAAAGAACTCCTTTCAATTTCAGGAATAATTTTTGTAAAATTTGTATTATTTTTTCCTTAAATGTTTCATAGAATTCACCAGTGAATCCATCTGGAACTGAAGATTTTCTTTTGCTATTGCTCCTATGTTAGCTTCGGTAGTTTAGGTTTTTAAGGGAATTTTATCCATTTCATTTAAGTTGACAAATTTATTACAAAGTTTTTCATAATTTTCCTGTATCATTTTAAGTCTCTGGGCTCAGTAGTTATGACCTCTCTTTCATTCTGACATTAGTAATTTGTTTCTTCATTTTTACTTCTCCCTGATTAGTCTAATTAGAAGTTTATTGATTCTGTTGATCTTTTCAAAGAGCCAGCTTTTTGTTTTGTTAATTTTTCTATATTTTGTTTCTGGTTTCTATTTTATTGGTTTCTGTGCTTACTGATATTCCTTTTTTTCTTGTGCTCACTTTGGGTTTGCGCTTTTACTTTCTGTTAATAACTTTAAGGTAGAAACTGAGGCCGCTAGTTTGAGTTCTTTTCTATAGGTATTCAGTGCTATAAGTTTTCCTTTAGCGCTGATTTAGCTGCATCCCACAGTCTAGATTGTTTCTTCCGTGTGTGCATCCCTGTGTACATGTGAGTACCCACATTTAAACTCACCTTCAGCAGGGCAGTCCTGTGTGGTCGTCTTGATTCTGGGGTTGAAACCACATCACTCCGGGGATACTTTTTGGTTTTGACAGTTATATCAGGGTTATCATTGGCTAAACCCCCTTTTTAGTTTTTAATTTTGATAATTCTTGAACCACGTGTAGTTTAAATCAAACTAAAATTCCATGTAGGGGTAGGTTTAGAATTTTCAGAGAGTTTTGTTTTCTCATCAGAAACAAGGTTAAGGGACACTAACAGCTTTGTTATTTCTCTCCATCTGTATGAGTGCTTTTTCTTTTCTTAATATACCTTTTCTCTAAGAATACAGTCTTTTTAAAGTCCCACATCTTGTAGGAATCTTACTCCTATTCCCTCTGTCCTTTGCACCCAAGGCACCATCACCTGACCCTACATAAAAGTTAGTAACCCAAACCACTGCTTACTCAGCCTGGAGTCATTTTCTCTTGTTTCTCTTGCTATCTCTGTTGCTTATAAGATTCTGCTTTTATCACAAGTTTTCAGCAATTGATTATAATGTGCTTTTTGGAGATTTTCTTTTCCCTTGTTATTCTTCTGCTTAGATTTGCTCACTTCCTTGGATATGTTTATAGTTTCTATCAAATTTGGAAAATATTCCATTATTTCATAAAAGTTTTTTTCCACACTTCTTTAAGTCTCCAATTACACATTTACTACACTGCTTGACGCTCCTTCAATTCAGAGATGTCTATTTGTTTTTTTATCTCTGGCCATCATTTAAAATGGTTTTGATTTTATGTCTTGAATTTCCCAAGCACTTTTGTCTCTATGTCTAATCTGCTGTTAGTTTTTGGTCCCAGGTATTTTACTTTACAATTGTAAAAGGTTTTTGTTTTTTTTTGTTTTTTTTTTTTAAATTAGAGGATTTTATTATTTTGTATTTTATTTTATTTTTATATAATTTTTATGTATATATATTTTAAATCATTGTTCATTTTATACAATGCTTACTTTCTCCTCCAAGGTGTAGTCCCTTGTGCTCTTCATTCCCCTGTTTTGATCCCTCTCCCACAATTGTAAAAGTTTGATTTGAGTCTTTTAAAAAGTGATACTTGGGCCTCCCTGGTGGCCTAGGAATTAAGTCTCAGTGCTTCCACTGCTTTGGCCCACTATGAAGGCCTGAGTTGCCTGAGTTTGATTCCCAGCCCATGAGCTAATCCACATGGCACAGCAGACATCTCCTGTTTTGCGCACTGCTTCCCTTAGCTATGTATTTAAGTAGATCTGCCTGTTCTCCTCCCCACAGTGTCTCTGGTGAATCCTCTCACCCCCCAACCTCTGGCCCACACCCCAATTTTTCTATTCAAAAATAAATAAATAAAATCTTTAAAAATAAATATATTCTTTAAAAAAATAGTAAGTGATACTTTCCTGTACCCTTGTGAACAAATGGAATGTATTTATTAAGTCTGAGTCACGAAGATCAAGTTTAGTTTGGAGAGGCCAAAGCAACTAAAATTCATAAATTCTCTCTTTACTCTAAAAATTCTACTTTCTTTGACCTTTCCAACTCTAAACTCTATTTTCATAACTTAGCAAAGCCTCTGTGTTCTGCTTTTGTTCTCCTTCCCTGGGGTACAAACCGAAAACTCTAAGCAAGGGCAAGTGCAATCAGGGGATCACCTCATTTCTTTTGGGGATTGCTATCATATATTATGTATTGTCAGGTGTCTAAAATTTGCTGCTTCATAATTGTTGTCTTTCTAGTTGTTTAAGGGCATAAGTTTGTTGCCTATTAATCTCTCATGATCAAAAGTGGATTGCCTTTTTGTTATTAATACAAAAATCTGTTTTAGACAATTACACTGATCTTCTATTCAGAATTATTCTAATTCTAATCGTAAGTTACAGCAGATTTTCTGCGTGTCAGTTTATTGTAGACTATATGTACTTTTATTTCACATAGTAGAGCATGATAGGAGAGGGTGAAGTTTCATTTTTATGTTTTATTTCAAAGATTTGTTTAAAGAGTCTTGCTTTCTATTGTAGAAGCCAAACGGACAAGTCGGTTTTTAAGTGGTATTATCAACTTTATTCACTTCAGAGAAGCATGCCGTGAGACATATATGGAGTTTCTTTGGCAATATGTAAGATTTAAAAATATTTTGGGGTTACACACCAGATTAGTAACATTATTTATGAACTATTAACCTGTTTTGAAATTGTCATGGATGTCTATTATTGTATGGTTATTACAGTCATTTTTATATTTATATGAAGTTGTAGATTTTAGTTACTAGAAAGTATATCTCAGGATAAAGATTTTCTTTGATATTTGGCAATTAAAGGGGAAGGCTGGGTTTTAATCTTTTAATTTAGGCTCCTTTTCCTATATTAAGAAATGTAATGGAAGAGCAGATATAGCCACATTTCTTTTCCTCAAAGTGTACATAGTGTATTTTAAATAATTGGGATAATTTAATTTACATTTATTGTCTAAATAATGACCTAATTGGACTGTTTCATTTTGTTTGTTGTTTGCCCAGCATTACATTATAAAATTCAACCCAAGTAAACCATGTTAGCAGATAGAAACTAGTCTCATCAATATTTCAAAGAATTTGAGAAGATTATAGGTCATCAGTGTGATTTGTCCCCATTTGTCCAATGTATGGTACCATATTCTCAGAAAAGTACCAGTGTAACACCACACATTGTGAACTTAAATTCTAGCTACACTGAGCTATACAGATAAATTCTTGCACAAATCATGCTAAACTTATCTCTTAAACATCACTCTCCAAAGCTCACATATTTATCTGCCAACACATATAAACACAATTTTGCTTAGCTAATTTCTCCTTATATTGTAAAACACAGCTCAGATGGCATCTATCATTTCTATTAAGCCTTCTGTAATCTTCCTCCCCAGTCATTACCCAAGTTGGATTGGATGTCACTCTACTTTATTCTCTTTATATTTAGTACAAGTTGTTTTGTAGTTTTTTTGTGTGTGTTATTTATTTCCCGAGTATATGCCCAAATCTTAGGGCAATGTATTCTATAATAGGATAGCTATCTTCTTTTCATTTTTATAGTTTATTTTCTTGTATCTGAGTCTTCAAGGAAACTGGGCTATGTAAGCCTAGGAACCATAAGTTAGTCATCTTGGTTTATTCTGACACCTTCCATATGCCTAGCTATGGAAAGAACACAGTATTTGTTGAATAAGTAAAGAAATTCCCAGTTCTGTTTGTCATAAATTCCTATGAGTAAGCATTTAATAATCTGTCTCGTAGACTTTTTTTAAAAAGTCACTGTTTAGGTTGAAAAGCACTAATATGAAATTATTAAAATTGCTTTAGAAATCTTCTGTGGACAAAATGCAGCAGTTAAATACCGCACATCAGGAGGCATTAATGAAGTTGGAAAGACTTGAGTAAGTAGATTTACAAATAAAATAAATGCAATTTCAGAATGCAACACTTTTAAGTAGTATTTTGCAAACTCACAGTACACTACAAGTCTCTTTTATGTTCCTTACTAAAAAGCAGTGTATTATGTATTTTCTAGAAAAGAAAAACTAGTTTTTCTTCTTTTGAACTCTTTGTGTATAATACATCCTTTCACTTCTTTTTTGTTAGTACGTTAGCCTGAGTTGTATAAAGCCACTCATTTACACTCCTAAATTGTGTTTGGGAATATTTATCTTACACAGGTGAGCATAGCTGACTGGACTCTTTCTTCAAATCAGTTAATTCTATTAAAATGTTTACTCCTTCAGTAGAGGCTTGTTTTGTTTTGTTCTGACTCATAGGTTGGATAGTAGAAAGAGTCAGTTAAGGGTTATGATTTCTTGGCCTTATGTATATAATTTTGAACAGAAGAGTTTTTTTATCCCTGTTAATTTATTGATGATCTTGAGCTTATCTATTTCAGGTGAGAGCTTTTCTAACCAGCTGTGGTATAAATTGCCTTTAGAGACAGCAATAAGTTGGAAAGACTGGGAGTAGAAAACAGACATTAAAATTTAACTTGGCAAATTTAGCATAAACAAGTCAAAATATAAATGACATACTGGGAAAGAGTATTGCAACATATGCAGCAAAGCATAACTGTCTCTAATTACAGAGTACATGTATTTTCCTAATAAACAAAGACTGCTACAACTGATAGGAAAAAAGATACTAGAAACTTAGGCCAAAACTGGGGATTTATAGAAGAGTGAATGCAAGTAACTAATTTAAAAACTTGTAAATATTGTCAAGCACACAGCAGTCAGGAAATGAAAATTAAAATGACAATTCTATACCATATTTCTAAAAGTAAAGTTGAGACATTCATAAGGAAGAGATTTGACATGTGTAAGTACTGTTAGGAAGGAGTAATAGAGCAAAAGTAGTGAATAATAATAGGTGAAGAGATGAGTATTAAAATCGAGGTAAAGAAATCAGCATAGGAAGGGGAGTTGCTTGTTCGTCTGATGAGCTGTGAGTTGGGAAGGATAGGCGTCTGTGCTGAGTCTATGCATAGAGTTGGTGGTAGGAAATTGGAGGAGTTTATCTGATTTTTATTTTCTCTGTGTAGTAGAGGGCAGCCTATTTTAAATCTCTATCATATGGAAACATGGTAATTAAGGAACCTGAAGACAGATTGTTTTTTCATTTAAGTTATTTGACCTTTCAAAGTTAAGAACTCCATGTTATTGTAATGTATTTTACTATGTTAGTTCTGTTCCAGTTGAAGAGCAAGCAGAGTTCAAGCAGCTTTCGGATGATATTCAGGAGCTGCAACAATCACTGAATCAAGAGTTTCGTCAAAAAACGGTACTGTTAAATACCTTAAAATTTAAAAACTGTGGGTGTGGAAGGGATAAAAACATATTGCATTCAGTTACTGAAGAAATAAGATACATTGCTGTGCCCATTTGTGCCCCTTATAATCAGTCTATGCTTCTATGATTATCCGTGTTATAAAAGTTATGTGTTGTCTTGTTGATTACAATTTGTTAGAATTTTCCTATGTCGACTTCTGCTCTTCCTGTACTGCACTGAGACACCCTGGAGACTGTAGAAAACCCTCAGGAGATTTTAAATTTTCTAGGAAAACAATGATATTCAGCATCTGGCATGCACTGCGTATACTGATGAGGGCTCAATGTGCTTCATAGTTTCAACAGCAACTCACATCCCATCCTTTTGTATCTTTGTGAACTTGGCATCTTGTCTTTTGCTATGCCAAATTAAAACTGAAAATCTGAAAATGAGAATATCTGTCTAATCTGATTACAAGGTCTATGGATTTGTGCAGTGCCCAATAGGTACACACATCCAATTAGGAGGTAGTTGTGCTTATTTAAGAAAAGAAATTAAAGTATTTTTTTCTTTCAATTATTTTACTTTTTCAAAGAGCTACTAAGTTGTTGTGCATTTTTTTGGATTTAACAACTTAAAAAGGAGCTGATAGATACTTTTGGCCTAGGGGCATTGTGGACAGAGAAAGCGTGGGAATATCTACTCTAGTCTATTTCTGTCTTACCTTTAATAGAAAATATGGAGGGGCTAAATATAAATCTGTTTTGGATCACCAGAAAGCAGTTTGCTTTTTTAACTTTAGATAGTGCTGCAAGAGGGAAATTCCCAAAAGAAGTCAGATATTTCAGAGAAAACCAAGCGTTTGGTAAGTGTCTTTTCATATTACTAGCATTTAGGGGTTCAACATGTATGGGATAGTATTTTAACTGTCTGTATTATTATAATCAAATGTTTTCTTAAAACCACACATATATAGGAAATTTGCACAGAAAAATGTGATTGATATATGATGTGGTGAGCTTTCAGGTGATTTTCATCATATAGTTCTATTTTCATATTTTTTAAAAAACAGTAGTCATCTATAATATTTAAATTGAAAAAAGTTAATGTTTTAATTTTTTTTTTCAAAGATTTATTTATTTTTATGCTTACAAGAGCTAGGGTACCGGCCAGAGATGCCGGGGTGAGAGGATTCACCAGAGACAGAGCGGGGAACAGAACAGGCAGACTGACTGAAATGCACTGCTGAGGGGAGCAGTGGGTGAGACAGGAGAGGCAGGAGAGTTTTGCTCCGCCATATGGGTTTCTCCCTGGCCGGTCGGGATCGAACTTGTGCTACAGAGGCTGTGGATTGCTTCATACTGTGGTGCTTAATCCCCTTGTGCTATGAGGGAAGCCCAATGTTTTTTCATTTTAAGGGAAACAGACCAGTATTACCAGATTGTCAGGTAAAACAAGTAAAGGTGGAAAGTGGGACTGGAGGGGAGAATAAGAATAATAAGGACCTTGTATATTGTGCTGAGATGCTTACTTGCCTATAGACTGATTTGGTGGGGGAGTAATGTGGCTGTGATTTAATATTACCCCCACTGCAACAAACATGGACAAATTTCTTTATTCTTTTTTATCATTGTCATGTTAAATTACCAATTTTCTTATCATATCTAAATATAAAAATATTTTCTCAACAGAATGAACTAAAATTGTCAGTGGTTTCTTTGAAAGAAGTACAAGAGAATTTGAAAACAAAAATTGTAGATTCTCCAGAGAAGGTAAAGAATTATAAAGAAAAAATGAAAGATACAGTTCAGAAGCTTAAAAATTCCAGGGTGAGTTTTTAAATTTTTATTGCTTTTTATCTTTCTGTCTTTTAGGCAACTCTTATTTATTCATTTGTTGATTTTCTAATTTCCTGATTATCTTTCTTTCTATTCCCTTAAAGCTTTCTGCCCTTGTTTGTAATTTGTAGCTCTCCTCTGAAGTGGGTATAGAGAAAATAAGTATAATTTTAAGATATTTGTTCAATTATGCAATAAATTTTTGAGGTTTTACCCTGGATAATCAAAATAAATTCCTTATCCTCCTGAAACTTACTTTGTTACAAGGGAGAAAAGTATTAAACAGTTTTATAATCAGTTATATAATTTCAAATATAATATGTTCTGTGTAAAAATATGGGGTGTGCATGTGTGGGAGCAGGAAGTATTTGGGAAATCCTTCTGTTAAATTTTGTTGTGATCCTAAAACTCCTCCAAAAAACAGTCTATTTTTTTAAAAAGCAACCAAGAGAGAAACAAACAAAAAATTGTATGGGGTACTTTCAAATAATGTAAGGAGGGGTACTAAGTTTGTAGAAATCAGGGGTGGAAGTAGAAAAAATCCTACTGACATCTGAGTGATGAATAGAAGGAACACCATTACATTGGCAGGAATGTAAACTTGTGAAACCATATAGAAAATCTGGATTTACCTTAAGAAATTGAAAATGGAAATACCATGCAACCCAGCAATCCCACTCCTGGGCATATATCCAAACACAAGAAACTATCAACACAAAAACCCGTATGTTCCAGTGTTCATAATAGCTTGCTTGCTTGCTTGCTTGCTTTCTTTCTCTCTTTCTCTCTTTCTCTCTTTCTCTCTTTCTTTTCTCTCTCTCTCTCTCTCTTTCTTCTTTTCTTCTTTCAGCACTGGGTACAGTCAGAAGCACGGGAGGGCAAGAGAATTCACCAGGGCCAGAGCAGGGAACAGAACAGGCAGACTGATGAAATACACTGCTGAGGGGAGCAGCGGGGGTGGGGCAGGAGAGGTCTGCTTGCCATGTGGGACCCTTGCCGGCGGCCAGGGATCGAACCGGCGCTGCAGAGGCTGTGGGCAGCTTCATAGCCCAGCGCTCAACTGCTGTGCCACCAGGGGTGGCCCCATAATAGCATTATTTTTAAGGGCTCGGACATGAAGGTAGCCTTAAATGTGCACTGATTGATGATTGGGACAGAAGGGGTGATATATACATACTGTGGAGTACTATATAACCATAAGAAATGATGAAATGCAGCCATTTTCAGTAAATTGGAGGGGATTTTAATAATGTGCAGCAAAGTCCGAACAATGAAAACAAATACTGGACATTTACATAGCAGACAATTTGATAATGTAAGCACTTTCAAAAACCAGTGAGCATCGGTAAACATCTCGAGTTCTCTGAGATTAAGAGAGGGACAGAAGGGAAAGGGACATGTGGATCTAAGGGGTGGTGGTATGGGGGAAAACTTAAAAAGAAAACAAATTTATGCTGACAGCTGAGTGATGAACAGAAGTTTTCGTAGTAAATTTGTATATGGAAGAGTATTTCAGACAAAAGGAACAATAGGCAAATTCTTTGAAGTAGTAGGGAGTAAGGTATGTGCAAGGAATAATGTGTGGTGCATAAGAAAGTGGCTTGAAATAATGGAAAATAGCCAGCTGGCAGATAATTCAAGGTGCTGGATTTTTTCTTAACAGCAAAGGTACACAATTGACGAGTTTAAAAGGGGATATTGGAACATGATATGATTTGTATTTAAAGAGATTATGGCTTAGGGTGGCAGGTGAATTGAGGCTGGGTAAGACAAAAGTAGAAATGGATGGACAATTTAGCATCCTTTATAAAGCAAAGTTTTGAAACTGTTAATTTAAAAAATATTCTGGTTTAGTTCTAAATTTGTTACCCTGGTCATTCCTGATAATTAAGGATTGTCACACAGGAATAGACAAAGATTACCAGAGCAGGAACGAAGGAATAGAAATAAATCTGATTGCTTAGAAGAGGAGTGGTTTATTTAATAAACAGGTCCTGTTCAACGGGTTATTCATCGAGAAGAAAGGGGAGTTGGGTGTATAACTTGCACCCTTTATAAAAATTCTATATAGATTAAAAATTTAACAATTTTGGAAATTTAGAGCATTTGTATAGTTTTGGACTGAGGTAGATTTTGAAACATTAAGCCTGGAAACAAAAAATCTATAGAGTAAAATACACTTATTACAATACATATCACAATATGACAGATGAAGGAATGTATCCGTGAGCGTTAAAAAGAGAACAGAAAGTGAGCAACAATATGATTAAACATTTTGCTAAAGACAAAATCCAACTGGTTAATAAGGTGAGAAGGGGTAGGTTAACAAGGAAAGGAAAGAAGTCTTCATATTACAATTATGGTAAATGTGTTCATTTTCTAATTTTAGATGAGGAGGCAATCTTTTTAAAACAATTAGCTGTGACATAGTTATTATACAAATGAATAGGAAGGTTATAATTGGTAATACAATTGCACAGGAGTAATCAGTAGTATTTTGAATAAACTCTTAAAATCATCATGAATAACCTTTGGAAGGTACTTCAATGAGTCATTTAGTAAAATTATGACAGGTTTCCGTTGCTCAAGAATAGTTGGTAATGAAGAAGCATAATCATATGCTTAGACACAAGTCAGTAATTGTGCTTTGGATGGACCTAAAAACTTAATTGTTCTCTACTCTTAAACTTTTGATACTAAGTGCAGAAGTTATTTAAGAGCAAACAAATTGACATTACTGCAGTTGCATAAAGGAGAAACAAACTGGTTTCTGTGCTTTTTTCTTTCAAAGCAAGAAGTGATGGAAAAGTATGAGATCTATCGAGACTCTGTGGACGGCTTGCCTTCATGTCAACTGGAGGTGCAGTTATATCAAAAGAAAATACAGGAACTCTCAGATAATAGGGACAAATTAACCAGTATCTCAAAGGAGGTTTGTATTGTGTGGAATTTTTATGTCTGTATTATGCAGTTTACTGGAGTTCTTGGATTTACTTTTTGTTCCTATTTTCCTAAAGAAAAACAGAATAATTCTACACCATGGTAGATTGGTAATGTATGTTGAAGAATTAAACACTTCTTTTTAGACATAGCAGTAATAAGACCCATTTTAACCCTCAGATGATTAATAACAGTACATTGCTATGTATATTTTAGGAAAAAGTAATGGAATTTTAAACTTGTTTTAACAGTTGAAAATGATCTTTAATCAGTAGGCATAAAATTTCAACTTAATGCCCAATACTGTACCTCAGATCTATAGAGATTTGCAGTTGATGATATATTCCTTGCCTTGAAGATGAAGAGCTGACACCAACATTACTAAATTTCTCAACTAGAAACTTGAAAATCCTTTTCATTTTTGTCATCCAAATCCAGACTTTCCCCAGCATCATTAACATGGCACTTGATAAAAGGTTTCTTTTCTTTTTTTTTTTTTTTTTGAGGGGTAAAGGGACTAGAAGGTGATTGCTTGAGGTATTTTTCCCAACAACATGCTCCCCTACTGCCATCAGGAGTCAACAAAAAAAAAAAAACTGAGCTCCTCTGCTTTTAATTGTTTCTAGGTCTACCCTTTTCTGTTTATTCCTGCTGCCGTAGTTGATTTTATCAATATGTATCTTTATTTCAGTCTTTGATGGTAAAATTACATGATCGAAACCCCTTGCCACGCATCCTGGTTTTTTGTATCCCTGGTGCCTTACCATTGTCATCTTTGTTCACTTTGTATTCTTCTGCTGGGTTTTCAGAGCTTAAATAGTTCTATCTCATTTTTATTTATTTTTTAAAGATTTATTTATGATACAAGAACTGGGGTACAGGCCAGAGGTGTGGGGAGTGAGAGGATCCACCAGAGACAGAGTGAGGAGCAGAACTGGCAGATCTGCTGAAATACACTGCTGAGAGGAGCAGCGGGGGAGACAGGAGAGGTCCGCTGTGCCATGTGGGTAGCTCCCTTGGCATTGAACTCGCGCTGCATTGGCTGCGGATAGCTTCATAGGATGCATCTTAACTTTACCCTTGTGCCACCAGGGATGCCCCTCTATCTCGTTTTTAAACTGTGTTTTACTGTCACTCATTGTAGAAAATAATCTTACTTTGTAAATCCTAATTAGTTTATTGACTTTGAATACTTCTCAAAAAAACACAGAGCCTGAACTTGGAGGACCAAATTGAGAGTGATGAATCAGAATTGAAGAAATTGAAGACTGAAGAAAGCTCATTCAAAAGACTGTTGATTGTGAAGAAAGAGAAACTGGCCACAACACAATTCAAAATAAATAAGAAGCATGAGGATGTCAAGCAGTACAAACGCACAGTCATTGAGTATGAGCTTATTTTCAATTTAATGTATTAGAAAGTGATTAGGAAAAGCAAATACATCTCTCCCCATATGCCAGGATTCCAAAACTGTAATTTCAAAAAGGTATTCCACCATTAGATAAGTAAAACTGATATGAATTATAATTTAATTATGAATTTTACCTTGTGTTTAGATTTAGAGATGTTTCAGGTACATGTATTTTTTTTCTTTTCCAGATGTCACAATTCTAATTAATTTGCATAATTCTGCAAAAGGGTCTGGTGCTACTGCTTGTTCAGAGCATGTTAGCATAGTGGTCTAGAGTAGCATCAGCATCACTGACTGGTCCATCTTTAGTATAGTTAGTCTGCAGCATGATAGCATCCATATAGTTGTTAGCCATCGCTGTGGTAGAGCATCCCACAATTCTAAGGTTGTATATTTAGAATGGCCCAGGTAGTCTATGAAATATCACCGTTTCAGCCTCTAAAAGATGCATTATGGATCATCTAAAGATTTCCTTTGTTCTTCCTCATGAAGAGGAAGACTAAGGGCAGGACCTTAGGGTTTTATAATTGTAGCCTTTTAGAGAAGTTGTGCTGATTGACATTCTCGTCAACAGGACATGAGTCAGCACAACTGGGGAAATGTAACTTAAAATCCTCCCTTTAAATAATAGCTTTTGTAAAAGAGCCCATTCTACTGTGGCATGAGTTAGGCACCATGCTGGGGTTCCCATCCATATCTTGAGAGTATTTGGATTTGTTAATCAAATACAGGTGATTACTTTGGATTCAAAATTAGAGTTAAACATTTGCCCTTTTAGAAGCTTAAGAGGAATTATGATTTAACCATTTCTCTTTTCCTTTAGAGACTGCAATAAAGTTCAAGAGAAAAGAGGTGCTGTCTATGAACGAGTAACCACAATTAATCAAGAAATCCAAAAAATTAAATCTGGTATTCAACAACTAAAAGATGCCGCTGAAAGGGAGAAACTGAAGTCGCAGGTGAGTAAGTGCTCATAAGGAATTAATTTCTGATAATCTCACAAGTATAAAATATAAATTCATGTCTCCCTCATTTTAAAAATTTTTGCAAATTCTCCAGAGTAGAAAATGATCCTTTAGGTCATTTGCTTTTATCTCCATTTATAGTACCTTTCCATTAGCCTCGAATAGTTTGCATATTTTTCCTCTTTCATACCTTTTTCTTACTTGCCTTTCCCTCTGACGGCACCTAGCAGAATATCATGCTTTGCAACAAGAATTGGTGTTCTATAGAGGTTCTGAGGTTTTTTTGATAAATGGACTTGGATAATGATTGCAAGTAATGTCCTTTAAATAGTTGCTATATTTTTTCCTGGTAAGAATGTCATCAGTGTACTGAGTTGTTACCTCAAAATAGCTTAGGATGGTCCCTCTGTGTTTTGGGACTTTTAATAATACCTTTATCATTAAGATAAAATTACTTACTACTTTTATCCTTTGCTGGTTTTGAGGGTATGTATTTTATTGTTTTATGAAAAGGCTTAAGTTTAATAAGGACAGGAATATTGTCTTCTAAATTTTTAATCTTCCTAAATGTCAGTTCGGTGCCAAACATAAAATGTTTACCTGTCCTTTTCTTAACTGCCAATGTCTCAAATAGATAGTCTCTTCTGATACATTTACCTCTCATTCTCTCCTTAACTTCTAAAGTTTGGCTTGTATCCCCAAGATTGACTCAGACTACCAGAAGTCATTGAAAACAGCCCTTTATTATGTAAAATTCTTTTCGTTACTCATTCTTCTTAACCTTGTCTATCTTGACATCTTAAATCAAGATTTCCAAAACCCTTGATAACCTCAAAAATATTTGAATACTGCTGTCACTACCTTCCACCATCCATGTCCAGTTTGCAAAGACTCCTAATACTAAATGAGCCAATGTAGACAATCCCCTCACCTGTTTTATTTATCCCCCTGAAAGATTAGATTCTTAGCACAGCCCATGTAAATATATATATCTATAGTGAGGATTGTCTCAAGGCTCTTAAAAATGGAAGAAAAAGAAGACAATGGTTGTGATTCCCTTCCTACCCAACACAATACACTGTACTGATTTTTTTCGATCCCTTTCTTTCTGCATTCCAACTACTTTTCTTTTTCCTGCTCCTTAACTGGATATTCACCGAAGTCTCAGCCTTCAACCCTCCCCGTTTATCTGTAGAATGGCGGTAAGAAAGACCTTAGGTGATATTTAATCCTTTTTTTTTTCCCATTTGTATGAATTAACTTTTATTTTTTATTTTTTTATTTTACACATCTCTTTTATTTTTTTTAATATTTTATTTTATATAATCCTTACATCATTTTTCATCTTTGTACAATGTGTGCATTTTCATTTTGGTTATATTCCCCATACAATTGCACCCCCCCTTATTTTGACTCTAGTGCTTCCTCTGCCTGCCCCTCCCTCTTCTCCCCCCCGCCCCCCCCCAGTGTGTCTCTGGTTTATAGTTGCTTATTGATTTTGATTATTGCACGCCTAAGTTTATAGCAGCACTATTTACAATAGCTAAGATGTGGAAACAACCAAAATGCCCAAAAATAGATGACTGGATCAAGAAGATGTGGTACATATACACAATGGAATATTACTCAGCAATCAAAAAAGATAAACACATGCAGTTTGCAGCAACATGTATAGAACTAGAAGGGATCATGCTCAGCGAAATAAGTAAGAAAGAAAAAAATACCGGATAGTCTCACTCATAGCACGAATTTAGAAAACCTAAATAAGAGACCAGGAAAAAGACTAATCAATACAAAGTGATAATCAAAATCTTTTTTTTTTAAGATTTATTTATTCATGCATATAAGAGCTGGGGTACAGGCCAGTGATGGGGGGGTGGTGGTGAGAGGATTCACCAGAGACAGAGTGGGGAACAGAACAGGCAGACCGGCCGAAATACGCTGCTGAGGGGAGCAGCAGGCAAGACAGGAGAGGTCTGCTTCACCTTGTGGGATGTTCCCTGGCTGGCCAGGGATCGAACTCATGCTGCAGAGGCTGCAGAGGCTGCGGATTGCTTCATAGTACACTGCTTAACCCCTTGCACCACCAGGGAGGCCCATTTAATCCTATTTTTTAAGCAAATCAAAGGAACAAATGTTTCGTTATTATCGCGTGGTCAAATTCTGAATTTAAAGGGTAAATAAATAGTTGCATTAATATGATGAAAACATTTTAACTTGGCAGACCCACATTAACTAACTGGTTAATGAACCATTTGCTAATGTCAGCGTCCTTTATCTATCTGTGTCCTTTATCTATCAGTCATAAACAGTACATGGGCCTGCCTTATATTAGTTTTGTGCGTGTATGTCTCACCAATAACATTTTAAGTTACTCGACAACAGCAATCATGCATTTTTTTCTTAGTAAAAAAGTGTATAGTACAGAAAGTATATGGTATACTTTCTGTAAATATTTTAAAATTGGAGGCTCATCTAACAAGATATTTCTAAAAAACTGTCTGTGCTAGAATTCAATGAGAAATTGAAATGCACGCAAAACAAGTCCTACCCAAATATATTGAATTAGAATCAGCAGCAATGGAACCCATGAACCTGAATTTTTTAGCACAGCTTTTAAGAACCACTGATATGTTCTGCTTCATTGTTTTCAATATTATAGGCTCATAACTACCCATTATGTCTACTAGGACAGCTTTAGTTGTTAAAATGTTATTTCTGATTTTGAGTTTAAAATACTCAATTTCTGCAATGTAGTGAACCAAGATCTTCTCTCTGGAACAAATCTATACCCTCTTCTGCTTAATAACACTTCAGACATTTGAGGATAATGATCATGGGCTCTTTCAGCCTTCTCATTTGGGTTAATTAGTCCCAGTTTTCCAGCCATTCTTTATATAGCTTAATTTTCAGATTCATTACTATTCTGTTTACTGTCCTCTCTCCTCTGTTTCCTGCATACCATTATTCTGCTTAAAGTGTAGGATTCAATACTGAACATCGTCTTTCAAATAATGGCACAACCAGCCCCAAAGCACTTGGCCTAAAGTGTCAAATAGGGTTCGGTTTTTAGCAGCAGTGTCTTACCCTTGGCTTTGAGCTTGACATCTGTTAAAGGACCCCTTTCTTTTTTACATGTGGTTCTGCCAAGTTAAAATGTTTTCATCATATTAATGCAACTATTTCTTTGCCCTTTAAATTCAGAATTTTATTATTCTTTCTTTTGGGTTTCATTTTACTTATATCATCCTAGTTTTCAAAATGTCAAGATCAGTTTAAATCTGTGTTTTGTTCTCATTACTTATTTGTCATGGCTGGGTCACCTCACACTTGATCAGCATGACTTTTTCTTCAAGATACAATATTGAATAGACCCCAGGCCCTTTGCTTTATTGTATTTCTTCCTTTACTACTATAGAACTACTGGTCTAAATTTCAGATACAGTTGTTCAACTTGCTAGGCTCTTCTAACCATATCTTTATGCTATGCTGTGATAGCCATTTGTTCCAAAACAGCTCAGGAGGTCCCTAAAACCTGTGGTGTAATCAAGATACATTTGGTCAAAGACTTACCTTTAGCTTACTTCACAGTCATCCTCCGTGAAAATGAAAGTACATGTGAAGATTGCCAGATTGTTCTTTATGTAATTCTGTGGGATCCTAACCATCTTCATAGCCCCTTTCTATTAAATTTTCTTTCCCATAGATAATTTCATCTCTCTAGTTTCAATTACCACTTTTATTTAGATAATTTAAAAAAATCCTTTTACCACTCTCCTCAGCTCTACTCTTTAACTGCCTGATGGATGTTTTCAATGAGCTGGCTTATCACAGAGTTATAAAATTACATTTTACATCTTCCAGCATCTCTCCTCTTTTTTTCCTCTTGCTTTCCCCGAATTTCTCTCTCCCTTCCCCATCTCTTTCCTCTCTTTCACTCAGTTTCTTAGTATAGGTCTTCTAATTCTTCAAAGACATTTTCATTAGAGAACTGAAATTTTGTACTTGCTTTAGATCATCCTGACATCAGACAGTCACCAAGTTAATGTTACAACCTGTTTAAACTCATCCCTACTGTTCATAATTACCCCTTCTTTTTTAATTCATATCTTTTACATCATTATGTATTCCCCGTAAATATCCCACCACCAGTTCACCCATGAACCATCACCGTAGTTCCTTGTGCTCTTCTCTCCTGTTTTGATCCCTTTTCCTCCCCCTCCCTCGCAGAATGTCTCTTATTTATGGTTGCCTGCTAGTTTTGTTTTTTTATTGTTACTATTGTTATTTTTCCTGATCCCTCATTTGGTTTCCCTATATAATGACCCCCTTTCTATTCATATTTCTTGGCATATAATTTTGTAATACTTGTGGATTGCGGTGAAAACTATAAAATTTTGCTAAGTTTCTTCTTTGACAAGATTCTCTGCATCACATCCACCCTGAATGCTAAATCCTGCCAAATTTAACCTGCTGCAACACCATTTTCATCATTACACTTTCTTGTTTAGCGGGAGCTCCTGTTTTCCTATGTTCACTTACCCATTGACTCTCAGAATAAGTTGTAAACTGGGAAGGATGGTCCCTGCCTTCTTGGACTTCCACCATTTCATATCTAAGCTAGTCATATCCAATATTTAAGTTCTCTTACCTCTCCTAGATATCTTTGATTTCTCTCCTCTCTCAAGTGCCATATAGCACTTAAGTCTATACCAAATAATCTAGATCTGTACTGTTTATGGGTCATCTACTAGTAACATGTGGCTACTTAGATTTAAGTTTAAATTAATTACGGTGACATAAAATTAAAAATTTAGCTCCATATTTGAACTAGCCATATTTCCAGTGCTTAGTATCCAATTTGGTCTGGATTATGTGTTCCTTCAGGGTAGAAAGCATGATTGGTTCATCTATTGTCTATTGTATGCTTATAGTGCTATTTATGAAAAGTACCCAATAATATTTGATTGATGAATTAATACATCCTTGTTGGATAAATGGCTACACTGGCTTGTCAAACTCCCTGTATATTGTATAATCTTAAATTTCTCTGATTTGAAAAGTGAGATAATTGCCTAGATCACCATTTCCAGCATTAGTTTTTTTTTTTTAAGAATTATTTTTTAAGATTTATTTTATGCATACAAGAGCTGGGGCACAGGCCAGAGGTGGGGGGGGGGGTGAGTGGATCCACGAGAGACAGAGTGAGGAACAGAACGACAGATCGACCGAAGCACACTGCTGAGGGGAGCAGCGGGTGAGTCAGGAGAGGTCTGCTGTGCCATGTGGGTTGCTCCCTGGCTGGCCGGGGGATCAAACTCGTGCTAGAGAGGTTGCGGATAGCTTTATAGGTTGTGTCTTAACCCCTTGCGCCACCAGGGAGGCCCTCCAGCATTAGTTTTTGAGTAAGACCTTTGTGTACTTCAGGTATGGTAGCCACTAAGAACCTGTGACTGCTGAGCCCTTGAAGAGTGGTGGTGAAGCTGATGGACGTGTAGCTCTTCATGTGATTTGCCTAAAGGTGGTCACTATATCAGACACCAGAGAACAAGACTTTGAGTTTAGAAATGTTTAACTTCAATGAAGCCATCACAATAAGACTGACTTATTTGTCATTTATACATGAATTAATATTACAAATTTCCATTTGACTATAGATTTAATTGAGAATTAAAATATATGGCATTTGTGAAGGCTGAGATCTGTTACCATGAAACATCCTGTGAGTGCTGGCTTAGAACTTCATGTGTTGGTTTGCTTTTGTGAACGTGCCCCTGGAATTGGGCTTTCAGATTTCATTCATTCATTCATTCATTCATTCATTGTAACACTTGCAGGATTTGATTCCTTCTGGAGAGCATTTCCTCTTCCTGAAGGAAGAGGAAACTCTTCCTTTGGGTCCATTAAAATGGTTGGCTTAGATATTTGCAGATTGTGTATCTTTATTTAGCCATACATAGTTTTAATAGTTTCTCATGAATAATAACTTTCTACCACATTTATTCAGCTTTTTTTTTTCTTCAAAGATTTATTTTATTTATTTATGCATACAAGAACTGGAGTATAGGCCAGAGGTGCAGGGGGTGAGAGGATTCACCAGAGACAGAGTAAGGAGCAGAACAGGCAGATCTATTGAAATACACTGCTGAGGGGAGCAGCGGGTGAGGCAGGAGAGGTCTGCTGCACCATGTGGGTTAGCTCCCTGGCTGGGGATTGAACTTAGGCCATAGAAGTGATAGCACTGAGACTTAACCCCTGCACAATCAGGGAGGGCCTAGCTTTCTTTTGTGTATGAATAAATATATGCCCCTGTAACAATAGGAAGTTAAATTGATCTATAGCTGCAGAATGTGCTGAGTTTTTACAAAATGGTGTTTATAAGCTAACTAATTCACCTTAGTTTTCCTACAAGATTTAAGATATAAAGCTTTCAAAAATCTTTGACATTTCCCTATTGATTCATATTCTCTATTAGTTGTAATAATTTGATACCTGATTAAATCTTGGAAATCTAAACACACTCTTCTGTTTTGTTTGGATTACATGTTTAGCCTTAAGCATCTATTTATATCTGCTCAGTCTAGAGCAATAGTTTTCAGACTTGCACTCATGAAAGAGTCTCTGGAAATAGTGTTGTTCTTTTATAGAACTATAAGTTCATTACTCTACTAAATTCAAATCTATATAGTTTGTTCACATTACATAATATTTACACTAAAGTTTAAACAAAGATAAGTAATAGCCAAACTATAAATTCAAGAAAAATTTAGCAGGGCCACACTTAAAATTTGCTGCTTTTTCTCCCTCCTACTGTTTTTATTTCAATCTTTAAGTGCTAGAACCTTTCATAATACCCCCTTCTTCTTGTATCAAGTTTTGAGATGAGAAAAATGATAAAAGAGAATCAAATTACATTTGATAAATATGAGATAGATGAAAATGTAAATAGGCTAATTAATTTCTTTTATTCAATCTATAAAAATTGTTCTCTTATTTTTTCTTAATTCTTAGCACATCCATATAGGTTTATATGAAAGCACATTATTATTCACGCTAGAATGGCCTGATGATGCTATTAAAACAACTCTAAAAGATGTTGGTGTATTTTTCAGTCCTATAGATTACTTATAAAATCTATTTACATATCTTTTTTTTTTTTTGTGGGACCCTCGCTGGCAGCTGGGGGAACAAACAGGCCCTGCAGAGGCTGCGGGCAGCTTCACAGCCCAGCGCTCAACCACTGAGCCACCAGGGGAGGCCCTATTTACATATCTTTTAACTGATGGTCAGAGTCAAATGCAGAGGTTATAGCTGTTTACAGTAATCTAGGTATTTATCTGGTAAACATGCGAAGTTACCAAAGAAAATTTTTTCCTTATAAATATGTCCTTAATGTCTTGGAATCCTAGCATTGTCATATTCTCTGTTTTATTCTTCAAAAAATAGCAAATTTTTTGGTGGATCTGTACAACTTTGAAAATTAATTTTTAATAAGAGTAGGCACTGTGTGTATGGGTGTATAAGCACATAGATGGTTTAGGATTTAAAATACTAATAAATAGGAATGAAACTGGAATTCTTGTAACTCATTTTTAGTTTAGGTTGTTGCATTGCATAATTTTCATTCTATTTCATTTTCCACTTAGGAAATATTTCTAAACTTGAAGGCTGCTCTGGAGAAGTACCATGAAGGCATTGAAAAGGCAGTGGAAGATGGTTGTGCTAAAATAGATGAGAAAACAGCGGAACTGAAAAAGAAGATGTTCAGAATGTGAACCTGATTAACAACATTCTGTCTTTTTGTAAATACTTTGCCATCTTTTAATTTTATATTTGGGAAGGGATTAGTTAGGCTGAAATTCCTGGAAGTGTTAGAAATGCCAAATATTGATTCATTTAACTTTTATTTATCTCAGGTTATTATTTTGCAAGATAATGCATTTAATGTAGACTTATTAACTTATAATTAAAATAACATGTGCTACTATTCATGTCTCTACTCTGCCCCTTGTTGTAAGTACTGGGTGGAGTAAAACAAAAATAGCTGCATTTGAAATGTGTGATTTTTCTGTAACTTTCATGGCTGCTGTTGGTTGGTTGGTTGGCACACAGAGCTGGACATTACTGAACCCTAACTGAGCACTGAGTATTGTGCCTGGGGCTCCTTTGCACCTCATTCAAGCTCTGCTAGGTAGATATTGTTATTACTACTTCATAGATGAAACTAGTCCTTGAAGGTCGTGTAAGGTTAAATAGCTGAGCCAGGGCCTCCCCGGTGGTGCAGCGGTTGAGCGCTGGGTTGCGAAGCTGCCCGCGGCGCTGGTTCGATCCCCGGCTGCTCCCCGGCCACCAGAGGAGGGTCCCACATGGCGCGCAGACCTCTCCTGCCGCCCGCTGCCCCCTTCAGCAGTGTACTTCGGTCCTTCTGCCTGCTCTGCTCCCCACTCTGGCTCTGGTGAATTCTCTCACCCTCCCACACATCTGACTGTACCCAGTGCATGTATAAACAAACAAACAAATAAATAAATAAAACATGCCTCTATTTAAAAAAAAAAAAAATAACTGAGCCAAATTTGAATTGTGCTCTGTATGATACATAAGTCTGGAATATTTCTTCTATGCCATTCTTTCTAAACTAATTATCTGAGAGAGAAGGTTTGATGTGGTAGTCTGGTTCTGTCTTGATGCCATGGCATTTATATGAGGAAATTGAGTTAAAACGTGCAAAGTGCGTAGAACAGTGCCTGAGAGACATTCCACATATATGGAACATTAGTATTTTGAGTCGCGGGAGTTCCAGGTGCTTTATCTTTGGCAGGGAGAATGAAATATTACTGTAAGTTGATACCTGGCTTTCAGTACATGGGAAAGCCTAGGAATGGGACGACAAAAAAATCTAGGTATCCAAGGAAAAATACTGGGATGCAAAGTTGAGCAAGGCCCATCCCTTCCTTGCTACTTTCTATATAGTTAAGACTTTTAATCCATAAAATGTGCTGTTTATGAGGCTGGGTAACAACTTCTCTTTCGTTTAAAACATTTAAACTCCCCACCCCTGACCTATCTCCACCTTTAGTTACCGCTCTTTTTCACAGCCAAATATCTAGAAGACCTAATCCCGACCCACATGACATTACTTCTATCCATGTTAATTCACGGAACATGGTAAGATCACCAAGAAATTAGCAAAATTCGCTAGACACGTGTAGTCTTCTTTACATCTTCCCTGTCTGTACTCCTTTCCTTTTGTCTCAGTAACGCCACCTTCTTGGCTCCCTAATTCTCTGCCTGTTCCTTTTCAGTGTTTTCCTGTGTGAAATGTCATACTTTTCAGGGTTTGCACATTTCTTTCCTTCATTTATAATGTTTTCCCTTTGTATCTTCAAGTGGAAAATATTCATTTTCAAGTCTCAATTCAAACTACAATTTTATTTTTTTTTATTATTTTTTTTTTTAATAGAGGCGTGCTTTATTTATTTGTTTGCTGGTTTGTTTGTTTGTATTGTTTATACATGCACTGGGTACAGTCAGAAGCACTGGGAGGGTGAGAGAATTCACCAGAGCCAGAGCGGGGAGCAGAGCAGGCAGAAGGACCGAAGTACACTGCTGAGGGGAGCAGCGGGTGGCAGGATTGGTCTGGCACCATGTGGGACCCTCCTCTGGTGGCTGGGGAGCAGCCGGGGATCGAACCGGCGCCGCAGAGGCCGCGGGCAGCTTTGCAACCCAGCGCTCAACCGCTGCCCCACCGGGGAGGCCCCAAACTACAATTTTAATACCTTTTTTAAACTTTGTCAGATATTCTTTTTTTAATATTTTGTTATTTTTGCTATGATTAGTAGCATATTGTCACTTTTTTACATGTCTTCCTCTCTGGTGGACTTTTCTTGAGGTCAGTGACCATGTTTTTTTTTTTTTTTTCAGTACTTACATCGATAGTACAGCATAGTATTAGCACCTAGTGGCTATTTACTATGCTTACATCAGGAATAACTATTCTTCTCTCCCATTGTCAAATAATACAGCTATTGAGGCCAGGTTTACCTACATCCAGCAAGAGTTACTTTTCTGCATATATAGACTTTATCTTTTATGAGCCCAGCTACTTAGCTATATGTAGAGCAAATATTTAATTTCAAGTTCAGCTGACATATTTCAAGGAGCTAATCCATTTTATGACAAAGCAAGGGAAATTGAAATATGCACCTTGCAGGCTAAGTTAATACATCTGATTTTAGTTTAACAGGGTATTTCCTATTTTTAGTAAGATCAGAAAAGTTTTATATGAAATTGCATTTCAAATTCAGGACCTGCCACGTACTTCAATTAAGTTGGCTCTCTCCTTCTGATTGAAATACATGTCTCATCTTCCTATCCATATTGCCACCAGGGGGCATAACACAACCTGCATAACCAAATGCTAGAATAACTCCATTTTAAGATTTGGAACCTCAAAGCTGAAAATTTTAAAGTGATAGTAACAACTCAAACAACAACAACAAAAAAGCATCAGAACTTAGAGACAATCTGTTTAGAGTCAAAATAGATTCAAAATGATATCTTCATTTTTTTTAATATTTTGCTAAAAGGTTGACTCATCCCAAAACTCCAATTCTGAGACTATGTTACTATCTTGTTTAGATTATTTTCTCTGTTATTCTAGTATTAGGTTCAGGATTTCTAGCTCATATTCCATGCAAGTCTTATTACTGAATTTTCCTGAGACAAGAATTTGAGATCCCCAGGCAACAATGAGCAAGTCACTTAGGGAATAAACCTGGAACACCCCTGACCTTGATTTCACTGTGCCATTCTTTTCATCAGGTATGATTTTTTTTTCTTACTTTACCTCCACCTCCTCTAGTCTATTCCAACTGCCACTACATAGACATTCCTAAAACAAATTTGATCATCACTTTTCCTTGCTCTTTACAAACCTTTTATACTAACCCACTTCAAGATTAGAGCCTTATGATCTGAAATGTTTGATGGTGGCAGCATAGCAAAGTACAGTAGTTCTCAAACTAGCATGTGTACAGTTTGCCTGGAATATTTGTTAAACATGCCTTCTTTGGGTGGGTCTCTGCAAATCTGTACTTGAAACAAGCCCACTAAATGACTGACAAGTGATCCTTGGGGAACACTTTAAGAATGGAGGCTGAATGAGTAAAAGCATAAATTAGATTCAGTCCTCGTTGTTTTCCTCCTTATAAAACGGGAATAAATATATCGGTACCTCTAAGACATAGTACCTGTCACACAGTCCATACGCAAATCGTAGATGGTGTCATTATAAATACAACTGTGAGTATATTACTCGGGAGACCAATTTGATATGCTTTATATCTTGCACACTACCTATTTTGCAACCCTTTACACCTAGTTGGTGATGACTGAATAAATGTTTGCTGAATTACACGATCTAGTGTTGAACAAAATGGGCACTAGACCCTAAAGCAGATAGTTTATAAAGGGAAGAAATCAACTTTGTGTTTTTAGTGCAAAGAACAAAGATCATCATGGTTTTCTCTTACCAGGGAAAAAAGCAGGTATTCAAAATAACGTGTAGGCTTCCCTGGACTCCACAGGGTGTCACTGCCGGCTCCTCTTTTGGCTGGAGCACAGGTGTAAGGCTTGCAGGACACTGGCAAGAGGGTTCTCAAACTTCAGGGGTCAGCAGAATGACAGGGAGGATTAAAATATTACTGCCCCAGTTTCTTACTCTGGGATGAGTCAAGTGTCAGTCAAGTTTCCAGGTGAAGCTGATGCTTCACCAGGTAAAGCTGGCTTGGGGCTTCCACATGGGGAAGAATCCACAGCATCCACCTACTGCTGGGCCTAGGCTTATCCACAGGTTTATGGCAGCTTCTCAAGCATCAGTGTGCTTGCAAGTCACCTGGAGATCATGTTAAAATAAGAATTCATATTCATTGCTCTTGGTGGAATATGAGATCCTGCATTTCCAAAAAGCTCATAAGTGACACTGATGCTGCTGGACTCCAGACTGTGAATAGCAGCTGACAACCCTTCCTGTCTCTCATCACCAAGTTCTTTGCCCTTCAAACCTGAGATGCCAGAGGTAAGATGCTTGGCATGGCGCAGAGCACAGAGTCAAGCACTTGTGCTTAGCAACTATAATGATGAGGTATTTAGTGCAGTCGTTAAAATGTAGGTTTGGAGCGCACCTTGTAATCCATGTTTGCTATTCACCCACTGTGTGAACCAGGCATATTACAGAATGGCACTGAGCCTCAGTTTCCTCATTCATAAATAAAGGTTTACATTAGCCTTTACTTCACAAAGTTGTTATCAAGATTAAACCAGAAAATAAATGTAAACTATTCAGACTCTTTGTAAATGGCTATAATTAGCAGTTTAATCCAAGAAATAGAGGTGATAAAAATGGCTGCAGCAGGGCTGAGGTGAATTTTCAGTTTGAAAGAATAGAATGTAACCAGAAAAAAAAAAAAAAAAACCCCACTGTGTCCATGATTATGACGGCTCACTAGAATACTAGTTGTTTATTGCTATCAGATGTTTCACCAGACAAGGACTCAGAAAATACTGAGATGCTTAAAGCCACATTTCAGATTCAATTTGAAGAAGTAAAACCTTATAAAAACATTAATGTCTTTTTAAAAGTTCTTAGAACTTGCATTTTACTAGGGAGAGCAAATCAGTCCTTAGGTAATCAAGGCAACTTTCTATAAGTGCTTTTTTTCAAGCCAGAAACCATAATTTGGTAGCTACAGAACTTAGCACATACTAGATGGAAACGAATATTTGATGAACAAATGAAGACACCATATTCAAAGGTGTAATAGGCTGCCCTTGGTAGGCTCTCTCATTAATTTTCCATTTTTCTTAGAGGCATTTCTATCTCAGCTTCAGCAGAGAATATTCCACATTCCCGGAAACCCCTCAGCTCCCAGCGGAACAGACTGGCTGTTCTCCTTATACACATGTGCTACATGCAGCTCTATTTGTACACACAGTTAGGCTTCCTTCTTCACTTAGTAACTCACAGAATGAGACCAGTGATTTGACAGCTACACAGCACACCCCAAATAGTTGACTGTCTCTCAAGAGCCTCCCAAGGCCCTCCAAGGTAGTCTTGCTGCCACCAACCCCAGCAGACATGTCCCCTCAAAGTCCTTTAAACAGACCATCACCTGAGCTTGGTCATCACTGGTGCAGTGGCAGAGGGCTAGAAATCATGGTTGTAAGTATAAATTGTGAAGTTTCCCCTAAACACACCTAAAATCACTCTTTGTTGCTACTTTCCAAAAAGTCTCCATGTTGTT